GTTTAAAAGGACAAGACCGTGGGCTGAACTGCAGTCAGTTCATTAATTAATCGAATTTGTCATCCGAGCATTTAATTTAATCTATCATCGGAGCGCGTTGTAACCACTATATCTTGTGTATCTCTGCCCATTCTCCCCCCTGCCATGGGGCCCCAAAGCATTGCATGCTGATTCGGTCTTCTCTTTATCCCTCTTTAGCCACGTGTTTGTTGTTCTGTGTTTCCCTTCCCTTTGGCTTTTAGGGCAAGAGACCAGCTTCCCCTCCGTAGGGTGGACTTGAAACTTGATCAGCTGTTTTGACTTGTGGGGGAGAATTGGACCAGGCTGCTGGCATCCCCTGAGTGCTACCCTGAGTGTGATTACAGTACGGCTTGCCTCACTTGATACAGAAGAGTGTCACTGCTGGGCTAATACCTTGGCGTGCAGAACGACCCCCGGCCCCGCATACCAGGCGGCTGAGTCAGTGCTGTTCTCACAGGCGTCTCGTGGCTGCATTGCGTGGAGAGCTTTTATACAGCTCTCCCCTACTCCGCTGTTGCCCTCGCAGGCCAGCCCCTTCAATAGGTTGAACCTAAGAGAGCAAGGGAGGAAGCCAGGAGTGAGAGTGCTCAAAATGGGGAGCGTAGTATTCAAACAGTTCCCAGCACAGTGAGGGCTGGTCCAGGTCAAGGGCTCCAGGGTTACAAAAATGAATGTCAGGAATCCAGGATGGTCTGATCAGACATGTTTCCATTCCAACCCCCGCCTTTATATTATATGTTGCCCAGGGCCTCACCCCGTTGTTGATCCCTGCAAAGTTCAGTTAAGCTTTTCCTCTCTATTTTCCATGCCCGCCTTGTTTGCACATCATAGACATGACTAAAGAGGTCCTTACGGACCCTTGAAGAGCTCTGGCCTAAGCCTATTCTTGGAAATTTCCACTCCCAACTAGCAAGGTGCTCAGCAGTGGTGACCTTAAGGTTGTTGGGGCCCTGGGCAAGAGAGTCATTTGCTCTCATCATTGATTTCGATGACCGATATGCAAGTCAGACATCTGTTGCAAAGTTTTGGGGCCCCTTAAAGTGTGGGGCCCCAGGCGGTCACTCGGTTTGCCCTCCCCTAAGGCTGCCACTGTGCTTAGGCTCTTGTTGGGGTGAACAGTCTTGCAACAATATCATGTTAACTGTGCAGTTTTTATGCATTAAAATGAAGGAGGGTGGGGATGAAAACGTGCTCTTGTCTGCACAGGAAAGCTTTCACTGTGTGAGAAGCAAGTGTATTGGGGCAATCTCCATTACTGGACCAACTGTCTAGTTGGTCGAGATAGTCTGGTCAAAGACAGAAACAACCCCCCCCCAGAAAACGTTGCTACTTACAACAGCTGTCCAAGTCTATACACCACTTTGATTATACCACTGACATGCCTCATACCAATATAGCCCAGTCTTGCAGAGTATTGAACTGAAATGCATTGCTTGCCTCTCATCTCAAGCTTTGCCTGTTGTTCTCTGAGTTAGGATACTCCATGAATAGTGCTCTCCACTGGCTGCTGAGCCCTGGGGGGACCTACCGAGGTTTCTGGAGGGTCCACATACAAATGTGTCTACTAGGCCTGGCCAAGAAAGTGCAGTTCAATTCCACAAAAGACTATCAGCGTGGTGGGTCCCTGAGCAGGGTGCGAAGTCAGACCCTTGCAAACTTCTGCAGAAGTGCAATTCTGTGACGTTCTTGATGTAGTCCACAGGTCCGCAGGGGCAGCGCTTGCTCCCTGATGTGCACTTGCATGGCTGGGTCTGAGCACTGCCGCTTTGGATGAAAAAGCCAGGCCCTCAGCAGGTAGGAGAAGACCCATCTTCCTTCCAGGGGGGCTACCGAGCCCTGATTGAACCAGCTAAGCATCCACTTGCAGGGCCCCATCCACACTGATTTAACAAGGTTGGGCTGATTCTGTTACATCAGACAGCTCCCCGGTGTGCTCCTCCATTCGGTTGGAGAGAGGCTTGTATGGCGTACCTTGAGGGCTCTTCGCCTGGGAGAATTGCTAGGGCATCTATGTAGAAGCACTAACAATGTCTCTAAGGATTAGTTCAATCCACCTTCAAAGCGCAGATGAGGCATGTCATGCAGGCAGCTAGTGTGGAGTCACTGTTCTGGGCCATTTCCCTGTGTAAACACACCCTTCATCTCAACTGGGGCAAATTTTGAGCTTGAGTGGGTCTTTGAAATGGCGTAACTACTTCAGTAAAGGATGTGACTGTGCTGCCACTGTAGTCAGCCCAATGCAGGCCCTACCTTGGAGTCATTTATAGCTGTATAAGGAGGCCTTACATTTATACCTGTGTAACAGGGCTCATACAATATCGACATCTGTATAAAGTTTCTGTATATGGCAAAGAGGTGTATCCACACCAGGAAGGTTGTACAGCCTTAGCTATACCAGTATAATACCTGATGCAGGCAAGTCAACGAAACGCTTTGTTGTGCAGGAAAAACTTCCAAATGTGAATTGGGTATAACCAACATGTGTCTCACTTCTGGACTCTAGGCCGTCTGAAATGATAGCTCTGGAAAGCATCAGATGCCCGGTGTTAACTCTGGAACCTACTCATGTCTCCTGAAATATTAACACCGTCAGTGATAACACTGAAGATAGCTTGAGTAAAAATCCAGCCCATTTCCTTACCTCCCTATTGAAACTGCTTTCACTGCTCCACCCTTTTCCACCCCAAATCTCTAAGTGCAGCTGCCAAAACTTCCCTCTGACCCCTTGGGAATTTGTGCCAAGCCATGATGCATCTTTGGGACCAACGACTCCAGCACTGCGGGGCCACATAGAGATAACAAGTGTTAGAGCACATTAAATAATACAGGGGCTGGGCAGCATCAGAAGTCCCAAGTGTTGAGCAACCGTGAGTCAGACCCCACCAGATCATGATGCTAGTTGTAGAGAATAAATGCCATGGTCTTTTCTTGCTTGGTCAGGGGTCACAGCCTTTCCTGCAAGGGCAAAGCTTGGAAACTTTCTTCTTCTTTTCCAAATGAAAGGGGAAGCTGAGGTTTTGCCATCATCCTGAGACTCCAAAAGTGATCTGTGAAGCTGATGCTGGCGGAGAGAGCAGAGTTATGGTGGGCAGCATAACTGAGCGGGGGTGACTGAGAAGCTCCAGCCCTGTGTGGGTCCTGGCACTACGAAAATAGTGACTACCGCAGTGGTAGTTGATTGCGCTGCTGCTTCGGGTGCCGCAATACCCGGCACTGCCCCATGCGTCATGGTGCCCGGGTGCAGAGCTGCTCTGCTGCGCTTCTGGTTCTGGCATCCACCCTTTAGAAAAATGTTGAAAAGCAGAAGGGGGAAGAAAAAAGCCACAGAAATAATTCAAGGGCTGGAGAAAATTGTTTGGCGGGCGGGGGGAGGTTAGGAAAGGTTGGATGAAAAGAATTCAGTCTGCTTAATTTATTGAAAAGATGGTTCAGAGGTGACTTGGTCACAGTGTATGGGGAGAAAACACCATATGTTTAGGATGTCTCTGGTTTAGTGGAGAAAGGTGTGACAAGTCAGTGGCTAGAAGCTGAAATCAGATTAGATGGGAAAGAAAGGGGGATTGACCGTGGGTGCAAACTACCCAGAGGAAGAGTCAAGTCTCCTTCTCTTGATGCCTTCCAGTCAATGCGGGATGCCTCTCTGGAGGTCACGGGGCTAATACAAGGGAAAGTGAGTGAACCATGAGGCTGGTGTTTCACGGGAGGTCAGTGTGGACACTCTGATGGTCCATCCTGGCTTGAGACTGAATCTCTGAAAAGCAAGAGCGTTTCGATCTAAGCCAAATACTGGGGGACTTGTGGGAATTAGCCCAACTTCCCACTGCATCCACTGCATTGTTCATTTGTGTAGCTAAGTTGATAAAACACCCAGCTAATAACTGGTGCTAATGGACCTCCCACTCGGACACCCCAAAGCACCACCAAAATATGAGATTTGCTGCTCTGCTTATGTCCAGGACTCTACACACCTGACCCCAACCTTTCCCCAAGCCCTTACCAAAATCTGAAATTGTTTGACTGACTTTCACCCACCAGCTATGATCTTTTTATTGTCATGCCCCTCTGTGCATCCTTTTTCTGGCTAGCCTTAAGGGTGCCTCAATGCAGCAAGAAGCCTCTGGACCAACCCAGCTCCCTTCAGAAAGTCTGCTTGATCCTCAGATCCGATTCCGGAGTGGGGTGTATGTCAACTGGAGGTGGGGCTGGGATACTGGGCTCATATCCAGAGCTGGACTTCTTGGTGTTGGAAAGGCAATCAGAGCTGAGGTTCCTGTTTGGCTCATTAGAGTAGCAGGAACCTGTCACAATTGTGTCCTAGGCCTGAGTCATGCACCTGGCTCGGCGTGGGCAGACCCCTGCCATTGCCCAGAGAGCCGCTGACTCCATGGGAGCGCTGCGGGCTTGCAGGGCTAGGCTTGCACTGACATATTTGCAGGATGAAGGCTTTAACTGGCAGGGAGTGGGGATTTGGTCTGGTTAGGTGAGAAAGACAAGAGCCACTGGCAAACCTGGATACCAGCCCCCTACCCCCCTTCCCCCCACACGCAAATGCCTGGGTTTCGTCTTGGGCCCATCACTCCTACCCAACCCAAAGGGCTGGTCCTGATGCCAGCAAAATTCAAAGTCACTTTGCCAGCGTTGAGATTTCTCAGTGACTTGGGTCTCCTCGAGTCCCCCAGAAAAATCAGTCGTGGGCGGCAAGCGGAGACTGATGAAACAGCGCAAAATCAGACTTCCGGCTGGAAAACTTATTTCTCACAGATCCCAGATGACTTTTACAGATCAGGATGTTTCTATGCCAGGAGGGGAAAACCTCTCTAAGATACGAACCAGCACAACAGGTTTGTCAGGCTCTCCTCCCCACCTTGCCACCTTTCCATACGCTGAACCCGACTTGAGCAGAGGGCAGAAAAATACAAACAATAGAAACATTTCTATATTTACCGTAAGAAACGTGAGATTGTTGCACATTACAAAAATAAAAGTGTGCAGTGTCACCTCAAGTGTGAACATGCACATGTACTTTCTTTTTTTTCAGTATAAGTTAGTAGGTTTAAAACAAAAATAAAATCTTCCAGTCAGCACCGCTCCTGCTCTGGTGCCTGAATAACATGGTTCTCTTGAAGAGGGCACTGGGCTAACTCAAATGCCTTCACAAAGTCTGCCTGATCCTCAGATCAAGGGCTGGAGTGGGGCGTATATAAACTGTCGGGGGGTTGGAGCCACAATGTTTAATGAAAGGGTAAACATTAAAAACAACTCATCTTAGTGTCAGGTAATTATCCCGAACAGCAGGTTGGGACTACTGGGGATTTCTAGATGCCTCTAGGTTAGGATTTGGGTGTCCTAGGTAGGGAGACCCCAGGAGGGGATAAAAGGTTAAATCCCATTTGACTTTTTCTGGCTGGGTGGGGGATCTCTAGTAGTGGATATTCAGGAAGTAAAGGAGGGACAACCCCTTTGCCCCACCGCATGGTGCATACGGGTGGTTCTAGGGTTTTTTGCCTACAGTGACTTATGTTCCTTTTTTATTCTAAGCACTCACCTGGGAGGAAAAGACTTGGGTGACCATAACCTTGGTTCCCTGCTGGCAAAATCACATTGGCTCAGGCTTAACCTGTACTTACAAGTTTTGCAAGCACAGCTCTGTGGGTCAGGCCTGGGAGGAACTAAGCTCCTTTAGCAGCATAGCTTGGGCTGCAGCAGTCCTAGTGTAGTCCCAGGAGGACACTTTTGCTGACCTAGCTCATTTGGTTCAGGGAACTGGCTGAAATGAGTTTGCTGGTATAAACGCCAGAGGTATTCAGGCAAACTCCGTTAGCTGGAGACAGCCCCTCCGAACGGGCCCCAAATTGTCCCAGCCCCAGCACAGGAGGAAAGGTGACCTCAGTAAGCAAGCTGGCGCTGGCTGAAAAGTGGGAAAACAATTTTGGGATCCAAGTTGTCTCCATTTCCTGGGGACCCTCTTTCCATTTCCTGTGCTGAGATTTACACTGACATTTTTTTTTCAATCAAACTCACTATCAGCCTGTTTCCAGTGACCCAACCCCCGTGGCTTCTTGCCAGCTTCAGTAGAAGGCTTGATGAGCATCCCAATAAAAGCATGGCTGAAAATGCTGATAACCTCAGGAGATGGGCTTTTGGGGGGTTGTTTCAGAAAATAAAACAAAAAATCTGTGCCAAAACAATGTCTTGACTGCTCCTTCACGGCAGCCAGGCACAGCTGGTTTTTGTCCTCATTCTGTGGGAAAGGATGGGTGAATCTGATGGAAGAGAAGTGTTTGAGCTATAGATCTGGAGGAAGGTTTGCACATGGGATTATTGTAGACCACCTCAGCAGCACCTTAGTTGCAAAAAGTCATTACAGAGGTGATGTACGCATTCAGTACCATGCCTGTGGAAGCAGGGTTGAAGACAAGACACCACCAACTCCTGATGTTTGGGGAGGCACTGGAAGGCAGAAAGGCAGCATGCAAGGCCTCCCCTCGCACAACAGGGAAGCCCTGCCACCACGAAGGGCATGGTCTGCCATGCGACGGGGCAGTGCACAGGCATGTAAAAGGCTACGATTTTACATCCTTGACTATCATGTTCGTGTTGTCACTGATGCCCATGTTACTGCTGGCAGCGGTCTCCAGGGCCACTGCCCTCTGCATTTTTGCTGGTGTTTTCTTGCCTGTGAACTTCATGAACCTTTGTCCAGCTAAGAAATATAAAATGGGATCCAAGCAGCTGTTGGTACTAGCTAGTGGCCTGGTCACTTTGTAGGCTAAGTTAATGGCATTGAGGGTGCTGCAGCCAAGGTCCCAGCTCCGGAAGGAATAATACAAGGTGCGAGTGATGTGGAAAGGCAGGAAGCAGACGATGAAGACCACCAAGACGATGATGATCATCTTGACAGACTTCTTCTTGGACTTGGACATCTGGGAGGTCCCCTGAGTGGGCTGCAGCAGCTTCCGGGCCATCAGGCAGTAAGACACAATGATGATCAGGAAGGGGATGCAGAAAAGAAGCACCAACATCACCGAGCTGTAGATGACGAACTGGCCGAAGAGCTCCTTGCTTGACGTGTCATGGCAGGTAATCGTGTTGCACTTCATGGAGGTGGTGACAAAGAAGAGCACCGGCGACTGGCAAATAATGATCACCAGCCAGACAATGCCCGACACCCTCCGGGCGTAGCGGACGTGGCCCCACTTCAGCGACTTCAGTGGGAAGCAGATGCCCATGAAGCGGTGAGCACTGATGCAAAGGAGGAAGAGGATGCTGCAGTAGAGGTTGGTGTAGAACAGGAAACGGACTATTTTACACAAGCCCACACTGAAGGGCCAGTTGTCCCCCTTGGCATAGTAATACACTAGCAGGGGCAAGGAGACCACGTACAGTGTGTCCGACACCGCCAGGTTGAACATGTAGGTGGTGGAGGCGTTCCAGGTCTTGATCCTGAAGAGGAAGATGTAGAGTGCCAGCAGGTTGAGACACAGCCCCACCACGCACACGATGCCATAGGAGACGGGCAGCAGGATGTACTTGAACTCCTCATCAAATTTGCATTTGTAGGTATTTTCATCCGTGGCGCAGCCCGCGGTGGAGGTGTTGGTGCTCTTGGTCCAGGCGTGCAGCACGGTGAAGTTCTCCATCACCCTGGAAAACAAAAGGCGAGCAGTGAGCAAAGAGTGGACAACTGATACACTTGGATCAGCAAACTTAATGCTGGAGGAGGATGATGCCCAGTGTCTGGTGTCACGTTGTAATTGTTATTTATATCATAATAGTACATAGAGGCCCCAGTGCAGATGATGGCCTCACTGTGCCAGGTCTCTTAGTAAGACACCATCCCTGCTACCAAGAGCTGACAGTTGAGCAGGCAAAGGGCTTTGGTTAGCTTCATTTCATATACGGAGATGTAAAGCCCAGAGAAATGAATAAACTCACCTAAGGCCACACACAAAGTCGGCGGCATAGCCAAAAATCAGCCCCAGAGCTTCAGAGGTGAATAGCCTGTGCAAAGGGTGCAAAGCCCTTTGCTAAAGCAGATAGAGCCACCTGCCCAGGTGTCTCCATCCTTCCAGCCTTAGCTAAGGCTCATCCATATGCACTTGCCTTCCCACAGCTCAGACCAGCCTAGGCAGCCTCTCCCAAGAGCTAATCATTAAAAAAACCCTCTCCTGCTCCACCCAGAGAGAGCAATGAAAGAGAAGGATTAGAGAATACCCGTCCTTCTGGTTGGCTTTTGTGCCCACGGTTCTCTAAGTATGCAGACACTGGAGCAACATGTGAATATGACTTTTTAGGGGGACAGACATCAGAAGCACCATGGAGCTATTTTTGTGCATAGCGCTGCCTTGGACGACGCAGACTGGAGCTTTATTTAAACGCGCAGTATTCAGTGCTGATCACAGGCCCCACCCATCTCACAAAGGACGTGCAGAAACCTGGTTACACAACCATACCAGAAAAGCTGGTCCGTTTTCAGACCAGCCAGCGAAGGAAAGACACTCCTTCAAGCCGTGTGAAAAGTGCTTCTTTATAAGCCACAACTAAAAGGAGCAGAGATTAGGGAACCGCTTCCTTCAGGAAAAGATCCATCAAGGCTATAGGCCAAAGTGACTTCTGTAATAATCTGCAGACACCTGCAGGTAGGAGCAGGAGTTATAACAGGGTCATTTTGGAGGGGGAGGCCAGCGAGCTTCTGGGAAGCTCCATGTGCTTGGGGATTGTACAACAGG